TGTTCTTATGTTCTTATGTTCCTATCTCTAAGGGAGAGCCCAGCCACCCTGCGGAGGAAACTCATTTCGGCCGCTTGCACTCGCGATTTCGTTCTTTCGGTCACTACCCACAGCTCGTGACCATAGGTGAGGGTAGGAACGTAGATCGACTGGTAAATCGAGAGCTTTGCCTTTTGGCTCAGCTCCTTCTTTACCATGACAGACCGATGCAGTGCCCCAGGGGTCTTAAGTAAAAATAAAAATACATTTGAAAAAATCTAAATTGTAAGATGTCTTATTTCCTCCAAAGACAAATAACCTAAAATTGAAGGACACTTTTTTCCTTGGGTCTCAGGAGGATATATTAATATACAGTACTGTGCAAAAGTCTTAGGCAGTCCAAAGAAATGTTTAAAGCTATTTATCTGGGTAGCAAGTGTACTTTGGCTTAGAACAAAAAACACAATTTAACACTACAACATGTGCAAATTAAGAATAACACAATAAAAACTAGTAATAATTTCTTCTGTTTTCTAAAAAGTTACTGATATCTAGTTGGATGGCTAGATGAACACCGCTTCAGTTCCCAAACCTCTCCTCAGGGGCACCTCAGCCGTTCCATGATTTTGTGAAATTTCACCAACAGCTCAATTAAATAATTAAATAAAATGGTTTAAAAAGTCAGTGACAGATTGACTAGCTGTATGAGGTGTGCTAGTGGCCAAGTCAAAAAATACATGGCTGCACTGGACGGTCACTGCAAATACTGGAATGATTTTAGCAGAAGTTCTAAAATGGCTAAGCTGACACACTTTGACAGGCATAATATGTTTTACACCAACACGGGGATAATCTAAACATCATTTTCTTTGCCTGCCTAAGACTTTTGCACAGTACTGTATATACTAATGAACAGTTATATAATTAAAAAGGAAGAATATTTTCTATTCAGGTGGACTGTCACGTTCGCGAACCAGCGAACCGGCAAGCAGGGGAGAGGAGCCAGGAAGCAGGGTAGAACGGGGATTTATTCAGGTAACAGGACCGGGGAAACACGACAGCAAACATCAATGACAAGTCTGGGGAAGACTGACTCAGACGAGGACTAAATACACAAGAAAAACTGAGTTTAACGAGCAACAGTTGAGAACAATCAGGCATAAACACGAGGTAACGAGGTGGGCGTGGCACACACAAGGATCGTACAGAGCTGGGCGTGACATAACCCCCCCCCAAAGGCGTGCACACCGGGCGCACCCGAGAGGAGGCGACGGACGAGACGCGGGGCAGGAGCTGAAAAACAAAAGCAAGACATCAACGGGGAACCGGGAACAAGACAGAAACACTTAACAGGAACAGGGACCAGAAGAAAGACAAGACCTGACAAAGGACGGGGAACGCAGACAGGCAGACGGAAAAGGGCGACACGGAGGGAGCACCCACAAGCGACACGAAGGGGCCAGGAGTGAACGGAGGAGGAACAGAGGGATGAGGAGCAGAAACAGGCGGGAAGAAGGGAGGAGGAGCAGACAGGGGAGACCAGACAGGAACGGAAGGGGGACAAAGGGGAGCCCGAGGGAGCCCAGGCGGGCGACGGGTAGCAGCTGGAGGGGTCACAGGTGAGAGGGAGCAGGAGGGGACCACACAGGGGCCAAGGGAACGGGACGAGGGAGAGACGGAGGGGACATGGAGGGAGCAGGAGTGAACACCGGCGGAGGCAGGCAGAAGGGGGAAGCCGGAGCAGGCAGAGGGGAAGCCGGAGCCGGCAAAGGCGCCGTCCAACACCCCGCCGAAGTAGGGGGGCCTGGAAGCGGCCGACACGGAGCCGGAGGTGAGGCCGAGGACCAACACCGAGAAACCAGGGGGGGACCCGGCGGAGACCGCCGACCCCGAGCCGGAGGACCCGCAGGCAGCCACCGAGCCACAGCCAGGGGCCGAACGGGCGAGCCAGGGGGCAGGGTGGGCGGGACCCGGGCCCGACGCCTGTGTCCCCATCCCTTATGGGAAACTGAAAGGCGGGGTCCTGGGGGGTGTCGGCCTCGCCGGGGCAAGGGCGAGGGAGTCATCAGGAAGGCCCCCGAGGGGTCCCACTCCAGCTCCTCTTCCTCACAGGAAAAAGGAGCTGGGTGCTGGTTGCCCGGGACCTTCTCGGGGACTGGGACTAGTGCTGGGGGGACAGGAGTCTCTTCTCCTTTGGAGGTGGCCAGTGAGGACGTGGGTGGGGTGGCTGCCGGTGGTGCCGCCTCATCCACGGACAAGCAGGGCATGACGGGCATGACCGGCGTGATGGCCTCACGGCCGGGGCACCCCGGACCAGGGGGCGCCTCGGACGTGAGTCCAGCAGGCGGAGGTGGGGCCGTAGCGGGCGCCTCGGGCAGAGTGGCGACGGCAGCTGCGGCAGGGGCCACGGGCGTGGTCGCAGGCGGCGCAGCCGGAGCCGCGGGCTGGGCAGGCAGGACAGGAGAGCCGGGCAGGACAGGGGAGCCGGGCTGGACAGGCAGGTCAGAAGAGCCGGGCTGGACGGGCAGAGAGGCGGCCTTAGGCAGGGCCCCGGGCGTGCGGCCAGCAGGGGGCGCCTCGGCGGACACCTCGGGCGTGCGGCCAGCAGGGGGCGCCTCGGCGGGCGCCGCTGACATGTGGCCAGCAGGGGGCGCCTCAGCGGGTGCCGCCGACACGTGGCCAGCAGGGGGCGCCACAGCAGGCGGTGCCGCGGGCAGAGCGGCGTCAGCTGCAGGGACCGCAGGCAGGACGGGCGGGTCAGGCTGGACAGGCGGGTCGGGCTGGACAGCAGCACCAGGCGTTGCCGCGGGCAGTGCGGCGACAGCAGCACCAGGCGTTGCCGCGGGCAGTGCGGCTGCAGCAGCAGCAGGCGTTGCCGCGGGCTGTGCGGCTGCAGCAGCAGCAGGCGTTGCCACGGGCTGTGCGGCGGCAGCAGCAGCCGGTGCTGCTGGCAGGTCCGGAGCAGGCAGGTCCGGAGCAGGTAAGCCAGGGACTGCCCCTTTAAGAGCTTTAGGGACCCGGGGAATAGCGTCTCTCACGGCGCGTATTCCTCCGTGGCCCAGACGCTCCGGCCAATAATGATACGCCTCCAACGGAGGTGGCTTCTCTGGGTGGAAGCTCGCCAGGCGGGCAGCGGCGGTGTCGTCCCAGGCGGGGAGGAGAGAGCAGGCTCCCAGGAAGAGCGATGGAGCTTCTTCCTGCTGCTCTCGATCTCTCCCCTGCTTCCCTTCCTGATCCCGCTCCTCCCGTCGCTCGGTGAGCCGGCGCTGCAGGCGACGGAGGCATTTCCGGGCTTTAGTCAGCGGGTACTCCTGCCCGGCTGGGCGCTCCGCTGATAGGAGGTCCGTGCCCCGGCTGGCCAGCCTCAGGGCTGCGGGGTCCTCCTGGGACCGCCAATACACAAAGTCCTGCAGCAGACGGAGCCGGCATAAACACGAGGAAATAAACACGAAGTAACGGCATAAAAACGAGGTAACGAGGTGGGCGTGGCACACACAAGGATCATACAGAGCTGGGCGTGACATGGACTTCAGCTGGTCCATATCATTGTTTATTAACCAGTTCATACATTTTATGAGGTACTGATTAGCCAAACAAGTTAGGCTAGCGGCCAAGTTCAACAGATATACAGTATGATTATACTGGATGGTTCTGCAGGGTTCTGGGGCCATTTCTAGAATGCATTCATCAAGTCCAATCCAAATCAGGAATTGGAACTGGAGTCGGGATTGGAAAAAACAAACTATGGGGAACAGAATTGGAATTGAATTCGAAGTTTGAGTTCCAACTCTAGTTCCATTTCCTGACTTGGACTGGAATTGATCAATGTATTCCGTAATGGCCCCAAGCATGCTGGATTGCATGAGTCATGACTAGAGGTTTTGAAATGGACCTAAAATCATGCCTTAAGGAAACAAACTTAAACATGACAGACCAACATAGCATTCCTCAACACTGATGTTAATGCCTGGTAAATAAATTAAATAAATTGGTCGGCTGTCACCCAATAGGCCATGAGGGGATAATGCCTAAATATAACACGAAATGATTTCTGTGGAAAGTAAAAGGGGCATTAGGGTAAACCTGATCACATTTATGATCACATAATGAAAGTGCATACCATGAACAGCCAGTTTTTAGCACCATTATCTCGAGATAACACGATAACAAATCTTGTGTTCTTGAGATAGTGAGATAACCTAGCAGCGTGGCAGCATAAGATGCAAAAAGGTACTTGTAGCTTATATACAGTTTAAATTGATATCTAAGGGTTGCTTTACATGTCTGCCATTGTGTAAATGGAACAGTGTTAAGAATGCAGCACATTTAATGAGTAGAATAAACCCTCAAGGATTCAGACGATTTTTTAGATTTGAATGTGGGTGTTTATATAAAGGTCTGTTGATATCAGATTTCAGTATTTTTATTATCAGATCATCCACACATGTATACATGATGTCATAGCATTTTCTAGGACCATGGTGCAACTTAGAGACAGGACATGACATGCACACTTAATTTCAACATTAAATACTGGGATGCACGAATTGACTAACCCAGTTACAGTGCATATACGAGCAGCACTGCATATGGCATGACTGCCCTGCAGCATCACAATGTTTATTATTGTAATTATCTCATTATCTCAGGATAATGGCATTAAAAATATAATTGCAAGCATGGCCGTTCTCGGCTTCAGTACAGTGCAGTTTTAGTATACACTATACAGTATAATTTCACATTTAGTGTGCAGAATAGAGTCAGTCATTATGATTATGGTTATATACACACAGCAATGTTACACATCTACAGCTGAATGCATCCTGTTCTGCACGCTCTCAGTATCTCCAATCTTCTCCTGGCAGGTATTGTGTCTGGAGTTGCTGTGTTTGGAGCTGTGTGTGTGGCTGTTGTTGTCATGGTGATAATCAAGAGGCGAGCAGGTGAGACACAGTACGGCTGACCAGACTGACTCTCTCTTAATGAAATCCGATATTTGGTGGAATTCGAAGAATACACAGTAGAGTTATCCATCGACTTATGTCCAGGTTATGTTCTGGGAGTGAGGATGTAAGTCAATCTTGGCACATCTCTATGGGCGTAAATTAATGACACAAGTAGTTGATGCAAAGAACCACAACGTAAACTAATCAAATAAAAACGCATTGCATTTAATAATGCTTGAATATTTGGGGGCTGTAATTTAATGTGAATGCACATCTAAACAATATTTCAGTTATTGTTATTATTAGTCAAATATTATTAGTCGTTAGTCATTATTAGTAAAATAATCAATGAAAAAATATTCGACTACCACAATTCAGTTCTAAAACATACAGTTTATAAAGTTCATTTTTATAATTTAATCACCTGAATTCAATTCATTTACTTTTGCCTCAAAATAAATTTCAAGACATCAAATTCAGTTGGAAACACTGAACGTGTTTTAATGCCATCTGTAGGGTATTTCCGAAACTAATTTAAAAGAGAAGAGGAGTCTTGTGGCTGACGCGTGTTCCAGGATCCAAAAACCAAATCTTCCCCCTGACTTGCATTTGCAGTTGTTTTATTTTACGAACAAATATATAAATTCCACATATACAAATCAAAAGGTTCTAAATAAATGCACACACAAATCTAAGACGACACGACGACACGGTCAGAAAACCGTGTGACTCCAAGCTTCTCCGCTCGTACTCATCCAACAAAAAATTACTATCAAGCACCACCCACCGCCCTTGCCGCTACGTGGTTAAAGTGGCAGTACCTATTTTCATCATTAAAGTGCAATGGCACTAAATCCAAGTGTTAACCACGTACATTATAAATTCTAAAGTAAACATTATGTAAATCATGAACATATATAAAATATTGAATATAAACCCAATTTAAATTCCAGTGTGTAAACATCTGGCACCTACACCATCTTCATAATTCAAGGGGTAATATTCAGTCCTTTTATTTTCGCTTTACAAATACACTGTCAAAATTTCAATGGTTTAAAATTTGGTCTGAAATTTAACCTTCAACATCCAGGACTCGCAGGATGAGCAGTTATGTGCTGATAAAGTTCTTGTATAGATCCGGAGTCAACAGTGAACTTGTGATAAGTAGGCCTACAAGTTCTGTCACACTGGTGGACAGAACGGTAGATTTTCCTTGATTGTATCATTGCGGATATGACTGAACGGTGTGTGTGAGTGTGTGTTTAGTTTCTTTTGTCCTCACTCCCTGCCTCCCCCTTAAGAATGACGGCCGCAGTGTGAAAAGGATGTGTCAGCTGGTCTGGTTCTTGACTGTGGGTGCAATGTAGGTGCAAGGGACCTACTGACGATCAACCCGAATAAAGGGACAAATTGGGATTTCCTTTAGGGTGTTTTATCATTCATATGTTTCTTTGTTCTATTTTCAATTAAATATGGGTTAATCATTGCATGATTCTTCGCAGAATCTTTGCATTCTGTTTTTATTTACATTTTACACAGTTCGCAACTTTTTTGGAAAAAGGACTGTATAGTCAAATTTTAGTCTTTTTGTCCTTTAACTGATTGTATATAACTGTATCAGTCCTGTAACTGATTACAGTCTTTATAATATATTTTAACTTATCTTCCTATATTTTAGGGAATCAAAAAGACACCAGTCACAGCAAGGTCAGTAGAGTGATATTTATTCAGTTTTTAAATTCCTGATTATTTAAATTATATCTCATAACTGACTTCTGTTTCTTTGTAAACAGACTCAGGATTCAGAGACCTACGCTACGATCGACTACCTGACATCCCAGCAGGAAGAGAAGGAGAAACCAGAAACTTACATTTTTAGTGAATACGCCACCATAACTGAACACACACTTAAACACTAAAGCCATTAACTGATCTAAGGACTGAACACAGTCATCTCAATCTAGACACGAAACAAGTGACGCTGTTTTAATATTTGGTATTTTTACTTAAGTACTGTTTCATTCAGTGAGCCTGGAACCTAAACCTTATGTCTAATCAGAAGTCATTATATAAATGGATATTCATTCATTTTTTAATTTTGGAGAAATATTTTTTTGATTTATATAAGTAACAATATTACAAATATCAAAAGCATAGGAAGCTTTGGCTACATATAAAACGGAACTTGCTGTCTAACCTTCATAGCCTGCAGGCTTTCTGCGTTAACACAGCTTTAAGTAGCACTAGTTTATACCACAGCACTGCCCAGTTCTCGAATATGAAGGGTGTTGATTAATTTTCTATAACCTGTCGGAATACAGTTTGTATTTAGTGCAACAACTACATTGTTAATTGAGTTTAAATGTATACTGAGTCATCTGTAGATGGTAATGTTAATTGTAGTGAAGGTTGTTTAAATTAAGTGTGATGCAAATATTCTCTTGGTTTTAAAAAAAAAACAAACTGATTGCTGTAAAAAGGTATGTCAGGCTGCAGCCATGTTAAGTAAAGAGAAGCTATGAATAAGAAGCAAAGACTGCGTGCACTTTATTTCTGTATGGTTTTATGAAGCTTTTCCCAATATTTTATGGGCCCAGGCAAAAATCTAATACAGTAAATAAGTGAATGATACAGCGACAGTGTCACGCCCACACGGGCGGGACCAAACACCTGCAAACGATTAACAACTAATTGCTCCACTACTTAAGCCGGCTACGTTGCAAAACCAATGCAAAGTATTATTGCCATTTCTAATGCGCCATACCGAGCATTTTCTTTGTCTCTTGTCTTCCCTACTCACCCTGCCTGCCCCGTCCTGCCCTGCTTCCCCGTCGATCCTGTTCCTCCCATCCTGTCGTCACCCGGTCTCGTACGTCCCTCCGTGTAGGACTGATGTCCCCAGTGACCGATTTGTAAGGGATGAAACTTTCCCTAATTATGCAGGTTTGTCACTTGGCTACACTGGGCACCAGATATAAGAAACAGCTCACAACAGAAGTACGGAAATAAGCATTTATTATTAGAATTCCACAGTTCAGTGTCCCTGCCCCATGAAGGAAGCAGAGCGCCAGGCAACACCGCAACCCCCACACAATGCTCTAACCACAGCAATCTCTAAAACACTTTAGAATATTTCACATTCACTAAAACACACTGTTAGAATTCACACGTGTATAAATAAAAAGGCCTGGACAGCTCACATCCGTAACCAGGGTCAGGAATACAAATTAACATGTGGTTCCTCCTAAAACAAATACACAAACAAAAGAAAAAAAAAATCAATTCACATTAAACAATCTTATTTACATTAACTAGTCAGGGGAAAACATCGCAATCCCCGGAAAACACATAAACCAATAACCCCACTTAATTCTAGCAGGAACCACAAACCTTTCCCGTGGCGCCTGGAGTCCACGCCGCTGCCACCAAACGCCGACTTGCGCCGCTAGCTTCCTAACCCGGTACGCCCCGCCAGTACTCGCCTTATATCACAACAATGCGGTAATCTCCCCACGATACGCTCCTTCACATATGCCAGCTGCAGCGTGGATTCCAAGCACCACCGAGCATAGGGAGGCCTCCCCGCTCTTCTATCGCTGGTATTTTATAGCCTCCATACTTCCGCCTCACAGGTGTTTCCTATGAAACCTTACCTGTCACCCTGAAAATCCCCGCCTACATCCAACCCCTCTTTTTTTTTTAAATGGGGCCTCACATTTACTCAATCACATCCTTTATTCCCGATACCTCTGGGGCACCAACCCTCGTGTCACTCGTGAAGACCGCCACACAGGCAATTGCCTCTGTCCCTCTGCTGATCCCTGGGGTGGGGGAGAATTATGTTCTTGCTCCGAGGGACACGAGGCCCCTGGAGTACCTCCATACCCCATAACCCAAGGGTAGGCCCACCAATCCTTCCAGCCGCTGGTCACTGCTGGCCTCTCGACTGCCGTTTCTCCTGCTACAGTGGTAGGATCTGGCTCTTTAAACCTACAGGGGCTCAACAGATTTCGGTGCAACACTCGCTCTTCTCCACTACCAGACAATTTCACCACATACACTGGTAATTCCACATTAGGTTGTGACACAACAACATAGGGTTTGTCTTCCCACCTGTTCCTTAATTTCCCTGGTCCCTGGGCCCGCTTGTTCAAAACCAGGACTCTCTGTCCCGGTAGCAAAGGTTCTGCTTTTACCTTTCGGTCAAAACCCCTTTTCTGCATCGCACTTGATTTTTGAACTTGATGCTGAGCATGGGTATAAGCAGCCACTAACCTCTTGTGATGTTGGTACACCCAGCTGTTCACCGTCCCTGAAAAACTGTCTCCACCACCTACCAACATGTCAAAAGGTAACTTAGCATGACGTCCAAACATTAAGAAATAGGGGCTGTAACCTGTAGAGGAATGAGGTGTGTTATTATAAGCCTGCACTAACTCAGGCATATACTTATCCCATTCCTCTTTCTGGACTTCTGCAAGTGTCCCCATCATATCCAATAATGTCTGATTAAACCGCTCACATTGTCCATTCCCTGAGGGATGATATGGGGTCGTGTGAGTCTTCTTAATCCCATACAACTCACAGAGTTCCCTAATAACCCCTGCTTCAAAATTTGGACCCTGGTCAGAGTGCAATTGATCAAACCCCCCAAATGGCTGAATAAAATGTGTCCATAAAGCCTGTGCCGTTGTCACAGCCGTCTGGTCCAAGGTGGTCACTGCAACTGCATAACGTGTAAAGTGGTCCACTATGACTAACACATTACACATTCCACTTCTTGATGCCTCCAGGGTCAAAAAGTCCACAGACACCATCTGAAGAGGATACCTTGATTTGATTGGGACCAACGGGGCACATACTTTGGTGGTTGGCGTCTTTCGTAAACAACATCGTTCACATTTTTGACAATACTCTTTCAGTTGGTTATACATCCCTGGCCAAAAAAATCGTCTCCATGCAACTCCACCAACCTTCTCCACAGCCAAATGGCCAGCTCGATCATGCACCCACTCCATCACTTGCTTCCTCAAAGAGGAGGGCACCAAAATCTGTTTTACCTCTTCCCTTGTCTTGGGATCCACCACCTCCCTACAAAGTAGTCCCTGCTGGACACAAAGTCGACCCCACTGACGCAGTAATGTGCGGACCAGTCCATCTTCAGACACCCTCTCTCGTGGGGTAGGTTCTTTTCCTCTATCCACATAGAACCACACACGTGCCATTGCTGTATCTGCTCTTTGGGCTGCAATCCACTCCTCCACCATCCCAGCTCCCAATACCTCTGTCTCCATCTGGGCATTAACACTTGCCTTCACTGGTAACTGGCAATCTGGTGGGACTGTAACAAATGCTTGCAAACATGCCTGCACTACCGCAGGAGCCACTCTTGTTCCACCACCTTCCGGTAGGAAACCGTCCTCTTCATCCTCCTGCTCTCCCACCACAGCTCCCACTGGCCATCGGGAAAGGGCATCAGCATTTCCATTAGTCCGACCTGGTCGATAACGAACCTCGAACTGGAATCCAGCCAGCTGTGCCACCCAGCGCTGTTCCACCGCTCCCAGAGTTGCCGTATCCAGATGAGCCTGAAGTCTGAAGATGGACAGGTCCGCACATTACTGCATCAGTGGGGTCGACTTTGTGTCCAGCAGGGACTACTTTGTAGGGAGGTGGTGGATCCCAAGACAAGGGAAGAGGTAAAACAGATTTTGAATCTGTTTAGCCTTGAGCAAAGGAGACTAAGGGGGGATATGATTCAGGTCTATAAG